ATTCTTATAGTATAGCCGGTTGTCCCGGCTACTGTACAGATCTCTTTAAAACTCCTCTGCTACATTAACTATCCTATCCATATTGGTAGTTATTTTGCTTTCTTTGTCCCTTAGCGCATACATCCGATTTTAGCCTATCCCAAGTTTTTTTTTCACTGCTTTGACGCTTCCTCCATTTTTCAGAGCGTGTTCAATTCTCTCATGTTATACCTTCATGTTATACCTTCTTACCTCGCATACCTTACGCCGATTATTCAACTTCGAAGGCTCCACCAGTTCGATTTTGTCTGTTGTACTTGAGACTTTTATGATTTGACGCTTCTTAATGAGATTCTTCGTTTCCTTGGAAAGCTTGCCAGAGTCCTGCCTAACTACCCGGCCTCCAACTTCCACTGCACAGTACTTAATGATACTCGTCAGATTATCATTCATTGTATTTACGCTGAGGTTGGCTTCGTCACTAAGTGCCGAGTATCTGTTCTGAAGCGAGATACCTAATTCTTGTACTTTTCCCCTCAGTGGTAGCTTACTGTATGGCTTCTTGCATATAAGTTTCTGTCGTTCCTTCTTCAAGTCTAAGCGCATTCGAGACCGTACCATTTAATGGTCACTGCATCGTACCTCGCCCACCACTTCCACATCCTGCACGATGCCTGGGTGTGCACTCATTATAAAGTCTATTTCGTTTTTATTTTCACCAATAGGGCTCCTCTAAGTCCACTTGCGGTTTTCTCGTTTTCGGTAGAAGGTATTCAAAATCTGTAAATTATTGCGCTCTGCGAGTTCTACTAGTAGCTCTCCTCTAGCGTTTCTAGTACCGATGCCATAGTCTCTTACTGCCTGGTTTCCAGCCTGCTTCTTCCCTACATTTTCATTAAAGTCTCCCATCAGTATAGTATACTGTGTTTTTACTTTACTCATTGCGGATTCCACTTCTTCATAGGAGCTTCCAACTGAAGCATCATCATGGCTGGATGTAGGTGCGTAAGCCTGTACCACCTTCATCTTGTATCTTTTATTTAGTTTATTTACGATACCTACTACCCTTTCATTATCACTTTAGTATTCCTTCATGTTGCCAGCTATGTTTCTGTGAATTAGGAAACCCCCTCCCAGTTGTCGTCTGTCAGCCAAGCCCTGATAACAAAAGAGGCACCCATTCTGTAGCACCGTATAGGCCTCACCTGCCCCCCTAACCTCAATGAGCCCTATTAATTCCCACTTAACATCCTCTAGCTCCTCGAATAGTACAGCTAGAATTCCCTCACTAGATAAGGTTCTAGCGTTAAATGTTGCCAAGTTCAGGTTCTAATGGCAGCCTGTCCGGATCCAGAGATTCTTAGCACCCTCTGCTGCGTTGCAGATATGACCGCCGCCGTGGTCAGCTGCTTTTCAGCAGCTGGGCACTGAGGGCGTTGAGTTATTTGACGTATGCATGTGGGAGGTAGTGGCCAGATACTGCACAAGGGTGGCCAATCCTTCTCTGGTGATTCCCAGAGAGGGGAAGCGGGTTAGGACGTAGTCAGGCTGATGATGATGATCAGGATGTAATGAAAATTATGACATGTATGCCATGAATGTGATGATTTACAATTCATGGACCTGCACCTCTTGTGGTGGTTTCGTTCAGATGGCATGTTGCAGAACTGGTATGGTATGACATGATTGCATGGCATACACAATCGACAGACCCTAACGTGAAAATCACGACTTGCATGTCATGCAACAACATGACCACAAGCCACGCTCATGATGAACTCGCGGCTGTTTCACTGGCGTCACATATACCAAATTTGGTAATACAGTACGCGAATGGATGACGAAGGTATGAGACGGGTGCAAAAATGATAATCATGAGATGAGTGTCATGTAAAACATGACTACATGATACGCTCATGATGCGCTCGCAGCCCTTCCGCTAGCTTCGCATGTACCAAACTCGGTATTAGGTGACGCGAACGGGCGACACAGGTAAATGATACATCGAAACATGATAATCACGAAACGCGTTTCATGAAACAACAGGACTACACTCAACACTCATGATGCGTTCTCGGCCACTTCGCTAGCTTCAGGAAGGAAAATAGGAGGGAAAAAACAGCAGGGAGGTTAACAAGCCTATAGGCAGCCGGGTTGCTACCCTGCGCTTGGGAGGGGGATGGGGGAGATGAAAGATAGAGAGCAGACAGGGAAGAGGGATAAACACAGCACAGTCGGCAGCACACGCATGCACGCTCATAGTCTAGTCTTGTCTTTCGCGGTGTGTGACTATGCTGTAACAGCCACTTCAAATATGCCAAATTTGGTATTACGTGACGTCAATGGATGATGAAGGTATGTGACTGGGGCGAATATGATAATCATGAAATGCGTGTCATGTGAGAACATGACTACGTGCCACAGTAAAGGGGCCAACACTTTTCGACGTGACGCGATGCGCGTGCTCGCCGGCGTTCATTTCGTAGTGCCATGCCGGCGTTGCCATGCCAGGTGCCGGTCCTGCCATGTGCGCGCCCCGCTGCGTTGCTTTGACGCATGCGCATTTCAGCGCGTCCGGCGTCGCTCCATCAGAAAAGAGGGGTATGCAGTGTTGCCTTAGTAACGCATCGGCGCGAAATGCAGCATGTCGCATTTCGCGCCGGTTGCCGTAGAGCAGTGCCTACGGACGCTGGTCGTGGCTGCCATCAGACTACAGAGTGCTCACGTTTTGCTAACGTAGCGTCGCTGTGCCCAGCTTGCGCGCGTAAACGACACATGCGAGGTAAACGACACATCCGAACATGATGATCATGACAAGGAAGGCATGTACGGCTTCATTTACCTCCACCTTGTATCGCTGGGCTGATTTTAAAGTGATATATCAACATTTCTAATTCGTGCTTTGCATATCATCAATTCCGCTGTACGTGGGATCTGCCCATTTTACCCCCTTAAGAATGCGCAGAATATCGAGTTTTCAAGTACGAAACAAGTAATTTGCAAAGAAGTCTATTGCTCCCTCGCAAGCTTTCATTTTCGACAAGATTTGCAACCTGGGTCCGTCAGTGATGCGTAAAGAATTTTATGTAGTGCAAGCTGAAATACGGAAACGGGAAAGGTACAAATCTAAAGGACCTCGCCCTCTTTCAACGCAATATAGTAATTGTGGATGGGATGGAAATAGTATAGGTCAGTGCCATCATTTGACAAAACACTTAGCCCTTAATTATCATGAACTTCCTTGAAGTCTAAAATACTATCGGAGCTTTCAACTAAAATGGGTCTCGAACTTCGAGAAGACTGAGTTTGTCCAACAAAAATGATTTGAGACATTTTTTCAGGTGTTTCTTTCAGAGACAACGACTCAGAAAAGGGTATCAACCTGGTGAGTTTTCGCATTGAAAAATACGTCCAGGCATCTCTTCTTATTTTTTCGAAGACTTTTAAGAGTTCCAACAACGTTGATGTTTTTGCACAATTTGAAAGCCTCCGTTTTTACTTAGTTTAACAATATACATTTTTACGTTAAACACCCAAGAAATAGTGTCATTGGCCTTTTCTAATTTAATTGAACACAAAAAAAAAACTGCAAAGCCTTGTTCCTTCTCTCCCTGCAGATTACATACCTAATGATTTTCCAGGCACGCCAATGCACGCTTTACAGGAATGCAAAATTAGAAACACGCTTACAACGTGATAAGGCGTCTCCTTCAGAAGTAAGTTTTTCTTCCTCAGCCTTACTAGCACATCGTGACACCGGTCGAACGACAGCCAGTAGTTCCGGATTTGTCCAATGTTTTTGAAGACTGAATCTTGCCCCTAGATTTTCAACTTGAATAACGTCATCAGGTAGCTGGAGGTCTTCAGAAACGTGAACTCTGCCCTTGACGTTTCGTTGAACACAGGTGACTTGTTCGCAAAGAGAGTGCCGCTGGGGTATTTAAAGCACTTCGGTGATTTGCCCGACCAGTTGCAGCTAACTTCACAGCTGAAATATAGCGATGGACGATACGAAGGAATTGTCAAGCTGTACACAATAACAAATTCTGTGAAGGTGAACTCGGCGATACAGTTCAGCCTCTAAAATCTTGAGTATCCACCGTGCTTGACTGAAGGAAGGTGAACAGCCCGTGCAACGTGCTATAACTTCACTCGGAATGATACTCTTGCGCATGCAGAACCTGAGGGAACGTGTCTTGCATGTCGCGTTGATGCTAAAGGCTACAATCTATCCTGTGTCTTGAGGAATCTATAGAAAGTGGCCCTTTGTACGAAAAATACGGTCGATAAGAGTTGCATCGTATACTTGTTAGTGACGCATTTTAAGGAATTTTATGTAGCGCGAGGACCTACAAAAGTGTACAGACGAACAGAACAGAGCGCAACTTTCAACACATTTTAACAATTGTCGATGGGGGAGGGAATAGTATAGGTCAATGACATCAATTGAGAAACCAGTTGGCCCTTCATTTTCGTGAGCTTCTATGAAGTCTAAAATGCTCTACTAATTTTAAGTTAAATTAGGTATTCTAACTAATATCAAGTATTTTGGAGAACTAGAGCTGTAATCATCAACGGAACCTCAACAAGCGGTGTTCTATAAGCACTCTTAAAAATATAAACGCAATGAGGGCATCGTTTATTCAGTGATAGCGGTCAGATGACGGCTGCTTTCGTTATAAAATCAATACAGCATTGACACTTTTTTATATCTATTAGGGTGAAACGACGCAGGGAAGCAACGCGATACTTGTTTCACTCCGCGAAAATGCGGCAAGCCATGACTCGTATTCGTTAACGTTAAGGCAGCGATATGCCAAGATGGTATTTTAGTATGAAGTTTTGTACATGCGTTTTAAAACTACTGCATCTTGAAACACAAAGCACGTCAATTTTGTAAGTGACAGGGAGAGTAATATTGTTAGCCAGTGAACACAATAAGCAGCCAAGTATAATTTTCCTCAGAGCGATTGTTCTCCATGATGGCTTGTCGCAATTCTTGTATATATTCTAGACAACTTCACTGCGCAACACTATCAAGCGCACACCACTGCTTATGCTGAGATGTCTACTCCAAAATGTCTACTAATTTTGTTTGTGGCTACAATCTCGTTATTGTAAGTAAAACCTTGTGCCTTACACTCTGTGCTCCAACAGCTCAAGCTAAGTTTGACGCAGCGTTTTTTTTTTGAAGTGCTCCAAACGGCAGGGTAAACTTTTTTAATAATATATAAGATAGGGACCAGATCAACTAATTTTATTTTTCTCATATACTTCGTGCGTAAGCGTTTTTTTTTCCTTTATGCCTGATCACTCTTCGTTGCCTTTAGCGCATATTTTTCTCACAGTGGAGTGTTCCCAGCCTTGACTGCCGCAGTACGAGTAGTTTTTGAATAAGATATGGTCACCAAAGTTGTTACTTATTATTCGACAGTGGTAATCTTTTCTGTATATCCTCACTGCATTACAAAACTGAGTTTCAAAAAAGGGGCAAGGGCCAGTGCACGTCCTCTTACCACATGGCTACAAAACAATCAGAATTTCTTTCCATCAGGTGACGTTGACACACGGAAATGTCCCTGCGGCACATAATATTTTTGGTGACTGTGTGTCAATTTATACAACGTCACCATGGAGCACCTTCTGTAAGTTGCTAAAAACGACTCGTTTTCAAGCCAGGAGAGAAGAAAATGTTTATGACGAAACGCGCATCTACTTTTTTTACTTTGTGTTTTCTGGAGGAGGGATTTCTTGCCCTACAACATTGACAACATTATTTTGCCTTGATGCAAGACACACACTGTCCCATCAAAACTATCTCGAAGGTTGCGGAAGATCTCAAAGAAAAACTACCATGCCCATAATGAGATTGCAAATCATGGAATGCATATATCCGCATCAAACAATATCGTAGTAGAATCAGCCACTTGTGTCTCTACGATTTAAACTTAAGATGATCTGAGAGGACACCAGCAGTATGTAAAGACACACAAAGCGTCCTCCATTTAGGCATCATCAGCACGCTTATTCCTTTCAGTGAAATGCGCGTATTTAATAAAGCACAATCATATTTAGCCTCCTCTGCAAAACTTATGAGATGATTTCGCTTTAACGCCAAGAAACATGATTCAAAAATGACATGAGGAACAGCGCTACTATGAACGGTCGTTTCTCGCTCATAGTCACAGCATCCAAATTGCCACCAGAATCTTCCCACAGGAGGAACTAGAGAAAATGCGACGCACAGTACTGAGGGTATCGCGTGAATTTCGCGTAATTTGGTATGGCTTGGGGACGCCTAATTGTTATTTTGTCTTTATTGCTCATGCTTATTAGATGAAGGAGGAGCGTTGCCTTTAACGAGCGGTGCGGCGCTGATGTTAGGTTGTTCCCCACTACCTGTTGAAGGTACTATTGCTTCCATCACATTTACTCGAGCCAAGCAAAGCGTCAAATCCAATGAATGCCAAGTAAAGCCACCGTTGACTGAATTCCATACATGCGACCCAGTGTCTACATAATAGTGAAGTAGAACCAACATCCTAGTAATGCAAACAGGAGGGTTCGAGCGTGCCATTTGGCGCAGAAAATTACAGATAGCACCAAGGCCTTCTACTTGGCCCGCCGAACATTTCCTCCACCCAGCGGGAAGCGAAACAAGATGCAGGCGGCGTCCCTACGACAGCTGCATACGCACACGTATCCCAACCCAGCACTGTTTAACGAACTATACCCCAATATATATCTGACGAATACATGCAAGATATTCAATATTCAGGTTGCCACATCTAGTCACATGCTCTGAGATTGTGCCTAAAAATGGGGGAACCCTTAAGTATCGCTTTTAGGAGTTGAACGCGACAGCGAAATTCGGCCCCTAGTGCGCCCTTGAACCGCTAAGTGCATACTTATTCATATGTTTTGTTACACACACACACACACACACACACACACACACACACACACACACACACACACACACACACAGTGGGTTGTACCAGCGCGCGCGCACAAATCGTACATGCAGGTTTTTGATCTATAAAGCAAGAGTCGCATGGTCTCCAAAATACACGCCACGTGCTCGCCATTTTGCAGGCCATGAAGAGTCTCACAATGCCTTACAGATGGCAGCATATTATCTAGCGTTTGCTGTTTGCTTGATCAACGCCTCTGGAAAGGCATGATACGTTTTCCACTAGATGTACATAGTTGTCTATTTTTAGAGCTGTTTGAAAGTTCCTTTGTGTTTTTAGCGGCGATGACTGCACAATCTCGGTCTTTCTCGACGTAGTTTGAGGCCTCCCAAACATGCCTACAAATCACCGATTGGGCTCGTTTTCGTCGGGACACCTGTCGAACAAAATGAATTTAACGTGCCCTTAAACACTTTTTTCAAGTAACCACAGAATGAATTAACTAGAATAGCTTATTGCCTAGCGAAATCAATGCCGAGAAAATTTTAAGAATTTGTCCAGTGGCAGTGGAGTTTCAAAGGTTTGTCGCATGCTGCAATAGCATTCTCTCTTCTCCCTACAAAAGTGCTGGAAGCTAAGCAGAGAGGGGTGGCAGAGGCAAAGAAACTACATCTTCCGTGCCTCGTGACTTTGAGCACTTAATGCTTTTTGTTTCTTCGTATGCGCGGCTTTTCCAGAGTGATCGCGTGCGCATGCGTGGAGAAGTAGCGGCCTGCCGCGGCGATTTCTGTAACAAGATTTTTCGCTTACGAATGATTTTTCGCCAACAAGCAACGAGGCCGACGGCAATGACGGAATTTCTGTGACATGAGCTTTCTAACGCTGTAGGTTTAAAATCTGCAAAGTGCTCAATCCGGAACCCTTCCGCTGCAGTGGGCCGCTGCCCTGTGCAGCTCCAGCTTCGGCGACCCGCTCTGGGCCGTCAAGCAGACGCGCGAGGCGGCGGTCAGGCAAGGTCTTGACGTCCTCACGTAGGAGACCTAAGGCCCGGTCGGCGAAAGCTCGGCCGGAATACCAATAAAGCTGTTACCAACCAAATACTGCATTCTTTCTTAGTGGCATGGGCACTCTCACCACTGTTGCTGCATGCGCTCGTGCACATTTCATCGCGTCGGTAGGAGAAAGTTCTAGCTGAGCGTCCACTACGCAGCCTGCCGTTAGTATGGCTTGCAGGCTAGGGGAGCAGAATGGCTGCGGATGGCCAACACGCATTCAATGGACCTTTTAAATGCCAAGCATTTTTTAGCGAACTTCGGCGACTCTGAGCGTATCTATCTATCTATCTATCTATCTATCTATCTATCTATCTATCTATCTATCTATCTATCTATCTATCTATCTATCTATCTATCTATCTATCTATCTATCTATCTATCTATCTAGCTGTCTGTCTATCTACCTATCTATCTAGCCGCCTACGACTTTTAGCTCTCCTGGCTGTTTCGATGATGGTGTCAATATCAAACTTGGTATGGCATAACATGACTGTATGTAGAACATCTTTAGGAAGTCATAACATGAAAATCATGACATGTATGTATAGTGTAATGATTTAAATTTCATGGTCTTGTTACTATTGCGGTGGTCTCGGTCACATGACTTGTTGCAAAACTGGTATGGTATGACAAGATTGCATGACGAACACAAGCGACAGACTCTAACATGAGAATTATGACATGTGTGTCATACAACAACATGATTACATGCCATGCTCATGATGCGTTCCTGGTCGTTTCGCTAGCATCACATATACCAAATTCGGTATTACGGGACGTGAATGGATGACGAAGGTATTATACCGGTGCAAATATGATAAACGTGAGATGCCTGTCATGTAACAACATGACTACAAGCTAGGCTCATGGTGCGCTCGCGGCCGTTTCGCTAGCTTCACTTATACCAAATTTGGTATTACGGGACGTAAATTGATGACGAAAGTATGATACTGGTGCAAACACGATTAACATGAGTTGCGTGTCATGTAACAACATGACTACCTGCTAGGCTGATGATGCGCTCACGGCAATTTTGCTACCTTAAGGCGTACCAAACACGGTATTACGAGACGCGATCGGACAAAACAGGTAATTGACACATTCAAACATGAAAATCATGACATGCGTGTTATGTAACAACATGACTACATGCCACACCCATTATGCGCTCACGGCCGTTTCGCTAGCTTCACATATATGCCAAATTTGGTATTATGTGACACCAATGGATGGCCAAGGTATGTGACTGGTGCAAACATAATAATAATGAGATGCGTGTCATGTGAGAACATGACTACATGCCACAGTCAAGGCGCCAATACACTTCGACATGATGCGGTGCGCGTGCTTGCCGGCGTTCATTTCGTCGCGTCACGTCGGTGTTGCCACGCCAGGCGCTGGTGCTGCCATATACCCGCAGGCGCACGCCGCGCTGCATTGTTTTGACGCATGCGCGTTTCAGCGCATCCAGGGTCCCTCCATCACGAAAAGAGAAAGACGCAGTGTTGTCTGGGTGACGCATCGACATAAACTAATGTTACTCCATGGCATCCGCGCGAAATGCAGCAAGTCGCATTTCGCGCCGGTTGCCGTTGGGCCGCGCCAACGGAGGCTGGTCGCGCCTGGCGTCAGAATACAGAGGGCTCGCGTTTTGCTGACGTAGCATGACTGCGCCCAGCGTGCGCGCGCGTCAACGCTACATTGAGTATATTGGGCCCTTCTAGATGTGCTCGCGGCCGTTTTGCTAGCTCAACACATAACAAGTTTGATGTTACATGACGTCAATGGATAACAAAATACATAACTTTGGTATCACGTGACGGGAATGGATGACGAAGGTAAACGACACATCCAAGCATGATAACCATGACACGGAAGTCAAACGGCGTCATTTACCTCCTACCGTAACGCGTTGCCAACTTTAAAGTGACGTATCAACATCTCTCATTCATGCTTCGCTTATAATCGATTTTCACTGTACGTGCTATCTGCCATTTTTTTTTTATTCCTGAGTTGTGAACAACGCTTCAATTTTTGTGAAGCGTAGAATGCGGCCGTGCATGTTTACATTTCATGCACGTACTTACATCAGATTGAGATGTGCGATGTCTTGCTTTGTTGTGACGTTTCGAAGACTAGAGGTGTCGC